GGCATTATCCTGAAAGTAAATTAATTAAAGCTTATTTTTCTGTTTACGGGGCACGGGTAAGAAGGTAATGCTACGGGTAGATGTTGTGCTCATCTGTATTTAACTGTAGATTACTGGAATAAGATATTCTTAATAGATTTTAACCACTAAAAGCTCACTATCCGAAATATCACGCGTAAAGTAGCACTAAAATCGTCATTTTACGATGCGTTAATGAAATTTTGCTATAAGATACAACTCGTATAAAATAATAATAAAATTCTCGTTTTACGATACGTAAGTTCCACCGTAAAAAAAAGGAGGATGATAATTTTACTGTCCTAAGTCATTAACTCGTCTCGCTTCGAATAAAATTGTTCATAACAAAACGTTATTTTACACTTTCCTTGTTCCCTGGTATAATACAAACTTTATTATTGATTTACGAATAACATCCAACAATTAATTCGAAAGGAGAACTTCCATTGAACGGTAATCTTGATAAATTAACATCGTTTACCGGTAAGCACCATTTACCAAGCTTCCCCTTGAAATGCAGAAACGCTCGCGTTCACGCGATTTCTCTCGAGCTTTCTTCTTCCGATCGTTCTTCCGAGCGTGTAGCGTTGGTCACGTGACAGGGACGCGCGAAATGGAGTACGAGAGTCGCTGCTCGGATTTAACCCCGCTGTGCTCCTTATTTGTGCATCCGAAATATTATCAGAAGAAAACAAGAACACAGACTGATAACAATTATACTACAATATCCCAAAATTTAAACTATCCTAGACAAAATAAAGCAATCGTTCAATTGAAAAAATAGAAACATCCAGGCGACTAACAATTATTTCACAAGATTCCAAAATCCAAATTTTCTTAGACAAAACGAAGCATTCGTTCCATTGAAAAAAAAACAGAAACACCCAGGCGTCTAACAATTATTTCACAAGATTCCAAAATCCAAATTTTCTTAGACGAAACGAAGAAATCGTCGCGAAATGAAAGCGCACGCCGTTCGAGAGCTCGCGCGCCATCGGTAATGACAGAACGAGATCGAGCGGGGGCTCATTAAGTCGCGAAAAAACATTAAACCGGAATGCGGCGTGTCGTGATCCATTTTCCTCTCCTTTTCCCGTCGCCTTCCGGCGCGAGGCGATTGTGAATGAACTCGTTTCCACACGGCGGCGTTGCGGAACGTCCGCGTCGAGGAACAACGATACCGCCGTTTCCGCGGTTGGCGACGGGGTTGCTGCTGCTCAGACGTGCCCCACGGTTGATCCGGCATAATGAACCGATCGGCCGTGCTCGCATGGAAATCGCGGGAAACTGTCGGTTAACGCATGCAAATTAACGCGGTCGCGGTGGGAAACTCAGAGCCGCCTTTGTGGCGAAATCGCCGGGTTTTATGGGTTCTTTTTGTCCCGGTCGGAGAAAAACGCGTGAGAATAATCGGGACGCGTTAACGACAGGTTAAGGTCTTCGGTTTTTTCGCGTTTGATCGGCGGTAAGTAAACACGAGCTGCATGTCGTCGAATCAAAGGCAAATATTATTCCTTCGGTCGTAGATGCAAGTGTGTTCAGAACTGCTCGCTAAGACTTGTCGCAATGGATTTCCAGTTTTCCAATTTTTTATCGATAGAGGAAATACTGGTTTTTTAAAGACTTGTATGTTATTTAATATTTGTAGATTCTAAGTGTGGCGAGCTTTTCGTTATTGCAACGGTTCAGTAACTTGTGCCTCGTTTCTTCGTGGGATCGTGATGTTTGATTACTCTTCGGTGCCGTGTTTCTTAGCAAATTAGTTAGTTTCTAAAAGAGTGAACTTTAAATGACTTCAAAAACGAACTTCAGCCTGGCTGACTCGTGTGAAATTGTTGGCTAATGAATTGTTGAAACTCTAATGTATTCTGGAGAGGAGATCTAAACGAATGCCTCGCAGTCATGCAACGATAATTAGGTATTTAGAGCGTCCTGGAATTAAGCGTACGCGAACGTTATTCCTATAAGACTTCCTCTTGAATTTCTTTGTGCCATTCGTGGGTGCAGTCGAAAAAACGTCCAATGATTTGTTGTATTTTCATCGGAAACAACCGTTATTATCCCATCGCGAGATCGGTTGTTTTTTAATTTATATGCTGATCTTGTTTACGGTACATTCATTATTCAGATCAATCGAAGATGCAAATAGATTTCATTGTCCCGAGAAATTTGTTCGTTTCGATTCAGTGAAAGGAAAATTATCGGAATACTCGATTGATGAATGTCGCAAGAAGTATTCACTTGATCTACTTGGAGTTGATGCAACAAACTTACCGCTAATAAGTACGGATAACGTGGACCGAGTATCACATAGGATTTCCTCAATTAATTCGATCATTAATCAGTGATCAGGTATATTATACAACAGGATACAACCGTTACCGTCAAAATTGATTAAGATTTATACAGTTCCTTGAAATTTGTATATCCCTTAAATTTATAGATCTTTCGTTCTTTATTAAAGATATAAAAATTTCTTTTTGTCATTGATAATTGAAAATTCTGGAGCTGTTACTATTACTTTCAGTTTACAAATTATTTATTTGAAGGCATAAAAAATTACGCGTTAACTCGATTTAATACGGTTTACAAGTGGACGAATATTCGAGCGTGCTGTACACGTGCATTCGCAGTCGAAAACACGACTGCACAGTGCGTTTTGTGCGTCGAGAGGAAGTGCTCGTAATAACCGAGGCGTGCACTTGTCTCTCGAGTATTGTGGAGCGACCTGACCCGGTCGCCATATTGATACGCGTCTGCTGGAAGGACCCTGCTCACTTGTTGGATCCCACGAGTCTTTCAAAATGCAGCTCTTCAATCAGAACACTTTCCTGCACGTGCATCCATCACGTAGCGATCTTCTTTCCGCGACACCCGTTATTTATAAATAAAAGTAGAACAAGTTACGCGCCGTGTTACGCGCGTTATGCAACAATGTTTTCAACTTAATTGCTAGCCACAGTTTTACAAGCTGTCTATTATTATTAGAACCTGAAATGATAACTCGAACAAAATCATTTTGCGAATACATTATATTATACTGTTTTAATGTTGCGATGTTACGAGATATTAAAGATTCATGTTTCATTGAAAATTATTAATGATCATTCGATAACGTTCCGTTGGTAACCCGTTTCGGCTTGCAAACAGTTCACGTCGGTTCAAACGAGAGAAAAGGTGTTAATTCGAATTTATTGCGTACGAAATTTCTCGCAGTCAACTGACAGCGATCCGTCCAATTTATATCAAATAAATTACTCTAAGAAGCGTCAATAAATTTCAATTTAACCTACAAAAGCCGCTCGTGAAAACCGCGCGGTCTGCTTCAGTCTCCTGTGTCTTGTCCGCGGCGAACATACACGTTTTGCCATCAGGCTTAATTAAATCGACGCGACCGGGATTAAGATTTTTACTGCGATTCCAGATAGATCGCAATTAACTTAATTGCCCGGAGCATAATTTCTTTCGAAATCGGTCACGCAAGTGCGTTCGTAATTTCAGGCGGCTCTTCGGACGACTGTCGGAAAGTTTGAAAAAGCATTAGAAATTTAGCGAGACGTTTCACGCGATCTTTCTTTTTAATTCTTTTCGGACGGCTCTTGGAAAGCTGGACAAAAAATTAGAAATTCGCAAGATGTTTCGTTAGATACTTTTTTTCTCAATTTCTCCATCGAGCGATTTTTGGAAAAATACAAAAACGACTGTATCTTTTGCAACACGTTTCACTCGATATTTCCTTTCATATCGCTCCCGAAGGATTGTTGGAAAGCTAGAAAAAAATTAGAAATTTTGCAAGATCTTTCGTCACATACTTTTTTTCTCAATTTCTTCATCGAACGATTTTTAGAAAATTAGAAAAACGACTAGATGTTTCGCAAGGTGTTTCATTCCATATTTTTTTCGTTTCGCTCTCAACGTTTAGAAAATTCAAAGAACGACTAGATATTGTACACGTTTCGCTCGATATCGGTTTCATTTCGCTTCCGAAGGATTGTTGGAAAGCTAGGAAAAAAAATAGAAATTTGCAAGATGTTTCACTTGATATTTTTTTCGTTTCGCTCTCAACGTTTAGAAAATTCAAAGAACGACTAGATATTGTACACGTTTCGCTCGATATTGTTTTCATTTCGCCTCCGAGGGATTGTTGGAAGGCTAGGAAAAAAATTAGAAATTTGCAAGGTGTTTCACTCGATTGTCGTTTAGTCTCATCTTTTCGAGATATGATCAGGATCCGGCGGAATACCGGATATATTTAGTCCGTGACGCCGGAAAGGCGAAAATAATGTTCCGCCAAGGGACAGCGCTCGGCCGCGGAAATTGTGATTTACTTTCCCTCGGAATAATAATGTGCCCACGATACGCTGGGCTAGTATCGCGCGCGGGGCGGGGTGCCGCCGCATTTACATACTTCCTCATATTGCGTGCACACCTACGCTCCTACTCTTTATTCGTCCATCGCCCGTCGATGGGACGAGCCTGGATTTATTACCAATTAGCATACCCCGTTAACGATGTCATTACAGTAATGAAAGAAAGAGGCGAATCCAAACAATTACCAGGAACTTTCTAAAACGCTATTTTTATCTTCACGATTGTGTAACTTTATCGCAGACCTTTTCGCATGTAAAAGAAATGCTAACAATAACGGCACATTGTTCTTGACAATTTCGAATATGATCAAAATTTTGCAAATATATCGGAATCGAAATATTTTTCATTTTTTCAGATAAGTCCAAAATTAAACGGTGTGATTTGTTAAAAAGAAAGTTCATTCTATGGAACGCTTAATAATTAATCGGATGTAGAAATCACCTTATTACAACTTTTACGCGCAGAAGTGTGGAAAGTGATATTTTCACCTTATTTTTCTTGTGTAATAATTCCGTTTTTAATGGAGTGTTTGTAAATGGATATCTCGCTAACGATACGGATGTAATTACGAAGTTGTATGGGTCTAACAGTTCACTTTTCTCACGTTTCAGGTGTTATGGCACCTCGACATCTTCCGGCGGAGCTTCAGGGAGCTTTCAGGGCACGCCTGCATGCGGGAATCCTGCATCTTCTGCGCCCTCAAGGTAAGCGAGACGGATAGTCTAGGGGTGGGGAAGAAAGCAACGCGAATCTCATTAAGACGGGCACCACCGGACAGGCTAAATATGCTAGTCCGAGGGACCCCGTGAACATAGATAAAACGAGTCATTCCGTGGACAGATATTAGTTGCTAAAGCACGGGATGAAAGGGGCAACTGGTACAGGAAAAAATACTCTCGCGTTGATGTATAATTACCATTCGCAAATTAATGTTCTTGGAACATTCAATTATTCTGTTCGATAATCTAAACTGGGCTATACTATAATTATAATTAATTACAAAAACACTTGATACAGATCTTTTAACTCACACTTATTCGTAAATGTACTCTCCGGCTAATTAATAAATTCATTCGTTGAATGAATTTTATTAATATCTCAGCCTTAGATTAATCTTTATAGTACATAGTAAACAGACAAATATCTCATTATTCATTCCCTCCGTAAAAACAGTTCCGATTGACGTTTAAAGTCGACTTGGCTAATCAAACAAGCTCAGCGTGCATAATCAACGACATCGAATCATGCGAAATGTCTGAACAATACGATCACAAGGCGAGAAGCTATGTCCGTCGGTCGAAATCCACTGTCGACTAATTATGCACGGATTAACGCAGCCCGTAACCGTGCCGAGATTTCATTGAAAGCCGCCTTGACATCTTTACGTATCGATGAGCACCGACGATTCACCGACAAAAGCGGACAGCTCCGCCGAGTGGTTTTCGTGCACAGTGTCGCCTCGAGTGATTTTCGATCGTGTGATTTTCACGAGTGGGCCAGACCGAGGGCCACTTAAAAAGTCCCACGACGATAATGAAAACGCGGCGCGGGAAGCGGCAGCACTCGAGATAAAAGCGTCTACCCGCTTGAAAAAGGAAGAATCTCAAGACGAATAAAGATTACTTTACGGTCCACCCATGCCGTGTCTACTTCAGGTTACAACGCTAATCTACGCGAGGTAATCTAATCTGAAAAGCGTCCTTCTCCTCCTTTCATTGCCGGAGGATGCTGCTGCTGCTGCTGCTGCTGCTGCTGCTGCTGGTCGTCTCGTAAAATGGTAGTTGTTCGGGAAACAATTACGCAGCTTCATGGAATACGGCGAAATATCCACTTTATTGGAGTTCACTTCGGCGAGTGGATGCAGAAGACGCCAATAAAACTGCAGCACCATACGTGCGCGCAATCTATTCGACGGTCTGTCCAAAGTACGCCAATTTAAAAATCCAGTTTAGGCGTACTCGTTCCGAATCCCTGGGCGATCTGTTGCGGAATAGGTTAGATTCATTGCGAAGATAAAATTTTACGATTGACAGGTATATTTTCCGATGTTGAGGATATCGTTTGAACGTGTTTATTGTGATATCTAGAAATTCTTGTCCTCGAAAAAAACGGAAGGAAACAGTATCTTTGTCGAGCGAAACGTGATCACGATTTGCATACTATCGGAACGTTTCCATTTACTTCTTCACAATCGAACATCGATGGAAGCAGTGACTGTAACGGGCCGCCCGGCGAGCAAAGCCTTTCTCCCGTAAGACACACATTCAGATGTGTTCCCTGATTGGTCAGAAGAACGGAAAGTAATACTCCGGGTTGCTGCCGGTTCATTGTAGTAACCGGAGAGACGAGTTAATAGTCGACCTGGAAATTTCGTTCCACGTCGCGATGACCGGTTTATTTAATTAATTCGTGAACGCTCGCTCGGTCCGTGTTTTTAGTGTATAATACATGTGTAAAGAAATGTACGTGCTTGATAATAATATCGAAATTTTGCAAAGTTTCTTCGGCAATATCGGAACATTCTATTTTTCCTGTAACAACACCAAAATTATTCAATTTCTATACGAACATATCAAAATTGCACAAAATTCTTTTAGTAATATAAAAACATTCTAATTTTCCTGTAATAGCACAAAAATTATTCAATTTCTATACAAACGTATCAAAATTGTACAAAGTTCTTTCAGTAATATTGAAACATTCTAATTTTCCTGTAATAACACCAAAATTATTCAATTTCTATACAAACATATCAAAATTGTACAAAGTTCTTTTAGTAATATGGAAACATTCTAATTTTCCTGTAATAACACCAAAATTATTCAATTTCTATACAAACATATCAAATTGTACAAAGTTCTTTTAGTAATATGGAAACATTCTAATTTTCCTGTAATAACACCAAAATTATTCAATTTCTATACAAACATATCAAAATTGTACAAAATTCTTTTAGTAATATGGAAACATTCTAATTTTCCTGTAATAACACCAAAATTATTCAATTTCCACACGAAAATATCAAAATCTTCTAATCTTTGTATAACCTCGAAATTGTCCAGTTTCATCAAATATTAATTTCAAGCTCTCTCTATAGTTTGATATTTACCAAATTAAACGAATTATTCGACGCATGAAATCGATGTCCTCGGATACACACATTCATATTAGAATCAGTTCCACAGTTCGGGGCAGTAAGCGAAACGAGACGCGTTGGAAACACGGTGCGTATAAAACGAAGAGGCGAAGTAGGCAGAAAACGCGTCGGGGCCTCCCCGTGTTCTCACGGGGTTAATTAGTAATCTCGAGAGTTAATTGCCGCAGGCAAAGGGTACCGTGTTTTGAGTGAAGTTCGCAGGAACAGAGGCGAGCCTCCGGCTCGAAGGACTGGCGTGTTTCTTTGTTGCAGGGCCCTCTTCCTCTTTATTATCTTCGCCCTGCTTCGGGCGACATGTTGAAATGAAAATTTACGGATACACTCCCCTTGTTCCCCCGTCCGAATTTATTGATAGAGGCAGAGGAGGGCGGTGGGAACTAGAAATTCAAATCTTGTTCTGTTGTTAACCTCTTGCCCTATGATTTATTTCTTACCTATGATCATCTTTAATAATTTATTAGGAAAAGAAGTTCGGATTGCTTATCAAAAGGTGAACGATTCATAATAGAAAAGTAATATTTAATTTATAGTGAAACAAAGTAAATAACACTTAGATTCGTGAAATTCGGTTTAAAATTTTCGTCGCGAGATGTTGTAGATCAAGAGGTTAACTTTGTATCTATACTTCTGTCACAGCTATTGACATAGGTAGGTTACAAAAGGAAAATAAATAAATCAATTTTTTCATCGATGGATACAATAAATTAAGAATCATTCACTGTTTTATTACCAAAAGAAAATTTCAGCTTGATACATGGTTTTTATATAGGAGAAAGTCAAGTCAAACAAATGCAATTAATTGCTTCATTATTATCGAAGATTTCATTGAAGATTTAAGAACCACTGAAAATTCTAAACTCCATTGTGTCAAGTATCGCCAAAGGTAAGGGTAGAAAGGAGAATGGCGTCGAGTTACACAATGCCGTGAAATATAAGAGTACGCTTTGTGCAATGACACGGTCATTGATTGTTCCATTCTTATTAATCACATCAATGTCTATATAATATTTGTACGACAGATTAATTATAAGAAACCTAAAATAGTTTTTATAACATTCAGTTTACGTGGCGATTTATTCATTGATTTGTCCTTTCACATCAAATTGATACTTTCTGTTATTTTTTAGTCACCCAGAAATATCGACCAAATTTTATTCTATTTATTGTTTAATATGTATGCAAAGGGTGCCATGAATAATGCGAAAAATGAAAGTTCCTTCCGGGAAAAGAAAGTACTCCCGCATTCCAGAGAAGGGGTACGTGTAACGCCGAAGAATTCGACCTGACCAGAGATACCTCAGTGAATCACCAGGAACGTATTCGGGGAGGTGGCAGCAGCCTCTTCGGGGTTAGAACGGAACGAGACGTCCCTTTACCACGTGCCACAGGCGATTCTTTCGACTTTACGACCCTCACGTTCAATTTCGTCCCTCGGGAATACGCCGACACCTTTGCACAACAAAAGTTTTCTTAGTGATGCTAAATCATGAATCTCCTCTAGCTGACCGGACAAATAGCTTCCTAGTGAGTCAGGTTATTGCGTTCGGAAACTCCACTCGCACGTTCTTCGAACTCGAATTCGAATCCTCAGCTAAAAATACCAATCGTTTCTTAACCACTTGCGCTGGAGATGAATTTGGAGATTCGACAAAGTATCGCGCGATGAATTTTGTTTCTACCTATTTTACGCAGGTGTGCGTATTAATTTCGTTAATCATTTTGTATAGAGTGATACATTTCGAAACAATCGAATATGCGTAATGCAACAGGATTATCAATGTGCAAAAGACATCGTTGACTATTTCGAAACAGAAACGTCTCGACGTGCGTGGCACGTCTTTCCGGCGCAAGAGGTTAACACTAAAATTATCGAGTTACATTGACGTTTTGAAATTACTCTATAGAAACTCAAGAATTTCGTTGATTCGCAATTCAGTTTGTGTATTGCTAAATCACTTTCCTTAATAAATTCTCAAAGAAGCATCTGTTGTCTTCTTAATAATTGCAGGAGGAAGAAATCAGGAATAGATTCTTCACCCGTCTGCTAGTTTTGTCAAAGCAATTCTAACATTGAAACCCATGAAACTGGAAATGGAAGAGTCGATTAATCAATCCTTCATTCATGAATACAAGCTCTAAAACTGTAATCCGGAATTAAGGAAATTATCTAATAATTTATTCTGAATGGTCAGTTGAACCTTCTGCTCTTAACACTATAAAAATTGTAACAATAGATCATCTCCAATTTCTTCAGGCACTGATTACAGTATTCCAGTGAAACTATATTTTCAAGATCATTTCGAATATTCAATGCTGTTAAAAATCCGACACCAGTCATCTTGACTGATACGTAAGTTCTAGTGTCAATCGCTTCGAAACACTCTAAAAAAAAGGAAACACGCTCAATTTAATATCTTCTGTCTAAATTTATTCAGTTATCTGTTAGAATTTATTGTGTCATGAGCACAGGTTGCTTAAGTGGTTCGAGTTAACGCAATCATCTTTCGTTCATTCTATTCTTCGTTTCCGAAATACTGTTACTTGCTC